TAATAGTATTTAGAAACAAGCATTTGGGAAGATATTTCCTCCCTGTTCATTATTTCAGTCAAAAATTAGCTATTAGAAAATAGAGATAATTTTCAAGCAGAAGACTTCTGGATGGCAAGATACTCGCTTGCACAAGAAATACAGACAGAGACCATGATAAACAGCTGATTGCCCAAATATGCTTTTATGGTATGTGTTATGATGCCCAGAATAAGAACACGGTCACAACAGAAGACTGGAACCTGGGAAACATTACTGCTTGTGAAATTGCTCAGAAAGACAAGAATAGCCATACTGAAACATACCGGACAAAATTATACTGAGAGAGCGGACTATGAAAAGTTCATTCAGACACTCAAATATTGCTGTAAAAACTAAGACTAACACGGATATACAGCATGATTGGGAGGAGACAGTCACTGAGTCTGCTTTGCTCCCAGCCACACTATTTAACTCTGAAGCAGCCTGTCTAACCATCCAAGCAGATGCAGCCTGGCTTCCACTGCAACAAAAAAGCCAAAAAGGCCTAGGAAGCTGCTGATTACCACTTGTTGGCTTAACTCCTTGTAAAGCAACAGGGAAGAAGGGAGCCTCCCTGAAGCCAGCTGTCCCAAAGGACTATATAACACCTTCCCTCAATTTGGACATTATCTCCAGTTTCTTCAGACATTCAGCGCTTATCTGTAATTGCCGGGCAACTAAGATTTGAGTTTACACCTGAGCGATTAATCTCCTTCCAAGCTTGTGATTTCTTTTCCACTGCACTCATTTACTTTTGGTCCTTTACTTTCTTTTTCCAACTGCACGTAATTATGTATCTACATATGCTGAAAAATTGATACCTGATTACCACTAAAACTAACGGAGGCTAGGACGGGCTTACTAGTAGGTCTGATTTTAATGGAGAAGAGAGAAATAGCGCAAAAAAGAACAGAACTCTTTGCCTGACAGAGCTGCAGCTCTCCCCTCTGGCAGCCCAAGTTTGCTGGCTTTCAGATGATATTGGAAAGCTCAGATGTTTCCAGTATGAATTATGAGACAATCTCAAGTGAACAGCAGCAGCCACCCACAATTAATACTACGCTCCTATCTCAGAACACAAACAAAAACAAACTGTGAGGCAAATCCAGCTTTTCCTCAGCATTATGCTATTTCCCAAAACAGAAAGGTATAGCTCTAAATTTCTCTACTTTTTTAATTCATCTAGATTTTGGTTTTACAATTCTCTTCTCTTATCAAGCAGCAGTAATAGGGAAAGATTGATATGAACTTTGATGAACATCATAATCACTTCACCAACCAGAAAGGTAAGAGAACGTAGTACGGTCAACAACAGCAAACAAGAAATTTGGAAAACACATTACCAGTCTAAGGATTTTTTTAATGGGATATATTCACATTGCTGATTATTCAAGCAATTACAGAATATGACATTCAGATCTCAGGTTTCTTTAGCTAAAATATATTCTAATTATTTGCTTTTATCAGCAAAAGTAAATTTCAGGGGATTAAGTTTCAAAACTTCAAGATAATTAAAGCAGTCTTGTTCTTTTTGCAACTACAAACATCACCTTTCAGAAATATAATTTATGCTGAATCTTGAAAGTTGAGAGCACTTGAAAAACAATTCACATTTTGATATGACACCACAATTAAAGACTTTCTGATATAAGACTAAATTGGTCTCTGGATTAAAATTACTGAGCAGCAATTTCTAAAGCTCCTGTATTTAGTTGCAGACATTCAATATCTAATGCAGGAATCAGTCTTGAGAATAGTCCCTCCAGACTACTGTATTAGTCCCTAAAGACTACAGACTAGGGCACTAGTCCCTAGTCCCTACAGACTATGTAAAAGTTGTACAGGACCACCTTCTGAATTAATCAGCACATCCTCATTTCCTTTATGCTGCGGCTCTCCAGAATAGTTTACAAATAAATCCTCAGTAAATATATATACACACACATATTATATCTGTTTATCAGCTACTCACCTATCAACAGTACAACAGTATTTTTCTGAATACTTGAATTTACTGAAATTTCAGTGCAAAAAAGTGCAAAATATCAAAAGAAGGAATTTCTAAAAAAAGTATAAAACGACTTCTGTAGTTCAGTTTTTCAGTCTATTAGATTTGTGTTTCTGGCTTTATATTCTATACATTTTGCTATTGATCTTCATAATAAACCAAAAATGTTGTCACCTGGCTGGGGAGAGTGGCTCTAAAAACCAGTGTTGCATATCAAAAGACTGCACTAGAATATCAATATTAATTTTTAAAGTTCATTTCTAGGGTTCCTGCCTGAAGAAAGAGCCCTCAAAGAGAAGAAAAAAGTGACGTGTCTAACTTCACAGTCTCTGAGGGTCTAGAATGTTCCATTCTTTTAAAAAGTGAGTTTCAACAAAAAAAATAATCACTTTGGAGAACTGTAGCTTCTCTGTAAGGCGTTCTGTGCTCAGCAGGACATGAATAAATCCCCACTCTCAGAAGGAGATACCTCTGCAATCACTCCTGGCTCTCCAGAGGAAGGAAAGGCATTTGCTCCTTCTTCCGGGGAAAAAAAGTCCCAGGGTGTTTTGTTGGCCTGACTGAGAAAATAAATAGTCAGGAATCACTTGGTATCTTTGGGGTTCCAAAACCAAAAAGATGACACGGCTCATTCTTTTCCTTTTTCCCTTCATTTTTTTACTTGCTGTGCTTCATTTTTATTTGCTTAGATGTTTGAACTCAAGTTATTAAGCACTTAACTGATAACATATAATTCCTTGATGTGTGGCTTTACTTCTTCAGCAGGTCAGCCTATACAATTATTGGTTTAATAGAGTTTTAGGTGAAGATATTATCAGAGCAGATGTCACATTTTAGAGACGAAGGCACCATTTGGAATCTACTGATAAGACCCTGTACATTTTGCGTAGGAAGCTTCTAGATGACTTTATGACCCTAGGAACAGAGAAAGGAGATACAGGGGGTTCTACTTTTGTTTTATTTTTCCTTTTTGATAAATGGAAGATGGAAATAATCCCTTTTGGCTATTAAAGTAGTTCAAACACATATTTAATTTTAGCTATTCTGGCTCTAGGCTCTGGAGTTGTCTGCAGCAACGTTAAGTCCTGGCAAACTTTGTGCTGAGATCTTTATGGGAATATCTATATGGGAATGTAATAGCTGGCTGCTGCCATAAGAGGAGAGACTACAAATGAAGACACTGTGCTCTTAAGTGCAAAAGAAAAAAAGAAAAAAAATTAGTTTTACAGATGTGCACATGTTCAAATATCCAAAACATTTTCTCTGCCTTGCATAGCTTCCTCATCCTGCTGCCATATGGTACAAAGAATTTTCCATCTTAATATTTGGAGACCGTTTTCTAGCAGGAACTACTAGATAATTTGGTAGTTTCTTAATAAGCAGGATAAATAAAGTTCATTATTATTTAAAATTAAGACATCAAACCAATTATTTCTTCCTTAAGTTCACTACAAAAAAGCCTGTGGAAAAAGACGTATGTCATAGATTACTGTATATTCAATGACCAGCTGTTTTAAATTTGGATATTAAGTAATTCACTCTTTTCTGTGTGCAAGAGCTGAATGATTTAATAAATTCCCATATGCCCCAACATGTGCCAGCTAAACTAAGTTATCGAAAATCCAGCTGCTGTTATGATAATAGCTGCCAATGCTAAAACTACTGAAGAGAACAATGAATCAGCTTCAAGTCAACTAAGACACAAACTGACACAGTTCCCACTTAAGATACGTGGGAATACAATATGTCTGTTAATTAAAAATGAACACTGACCCATAGTCACATGAAAATTAAGTGCCAAGAATTCATGTGCATTGTTTAGGGTGGAAAATTAACGCCCAATCAACCTGTATGAAGACAAGCAGCTCCATTTCTATCAGTTGCCCTAAATGCATAGGAATGTCCTATAAACTACACATACGGTTTGCAAAACAGATTCTATTGTGTCGTAGTTTGCTTTTATTATGATATTACATATCATAATTCCCATGCAGCTCTTGCATGACATGTTTTACATAGCTAGACTGCTGGATTTTTCTATGATCATGAAAAACTGATTATGAAAATTTGATTCTTTTATGTACAAGTATTTTAATGCAATTTAAGAGTCAAAGGTACAACTCCACTGCCTTAATTCATTAAAACAAGCACACAAACAACAAAAAAAGCAGATAAAGAGAGAAAGTAGCCAAACAAGGTGACAGAAATAATTCTCCAGACACCTATTTTTAGGACAATCGGTGCAGAAATATCCATCAAAATATGTCACTATTAAATTTTAAAAGCTAAGAAAAGATTTCCTTGGATATTAAATTAATACTTGTAGTTACAAAAGCTTTGCAGGTGAATGTAACTTTCATCTTCAGGTCAGCATAAGTAAACGCATTACGATACACACTTTTATTTCTCACAATTAGCTCCTTGTTAAGGGAAATAATTTTGAAATTACCCTAGAAATCATCAGTCCCATAAGCAAGATTAGACTATCGCTATATTGATGTAAATGTATATCAGCTATAGGACATAAAATAATTATTCTTTAAAAAAAAAGAAAAAAAAAAGAACCCAACCCATTCACATTTGCTGAAGCTGGATCATCTCCAGTACACAAAGTATACAATGCTCAAAAGCCACATTAAAGAAGACTTCAATAACTTTAACTTCAAGCAGTCTACATATAGTAGTTTAAGCATAAAAAATAATTTAAGAATGTATTATTTGAAAAAGATTAGGAATATACTGACAAATTAAAAGCATGTCATGCAGAGATTTAAGATCCTTATAAAAGCTCAAGCAAAGGGGCAAACCACATCAAGGGGCTTACAGAAAACTCAAAGACTTTGAAAGCTTAAAGAAGCTCATTCTTTTTCATACCTTAATTATGAAGTTGCAAGTAATTGTGTTTCCAGCCACATGTTCTTGACATTGCAAAAAACCCAACACTTATTTTCTCAAGTATTAGTAGACTTACTTTTCTTTAAGGAAATCCACTACTTGTTTGAAGTCTGCCACGCAGTATTCTCTTTTCATGTCCATGAGCACACTGTCAGAGGCTGACTGGACCGGTATGTGTAGAAAAGCATATACTCTTGGATGATTGAGAATCTTTGCCATTTCCTAAGAGTTATTCAAAAAGAAAAAAGCTTTAAAGCATTATGAAAACAATGCACAAAACTCCTTTAAATTAATATATGGGGTAAGAATCAGGAGGAATACTTCTGAAACCCAATCAATATGGAGTTGCAGTGGCCCAGTTTGAAACAGTAGGGACAGGTGAAAATATTTGGAACCAATTTTGTTTTTAAAGAAAATAAGAAAAAAGCTATGGGATTGCATTTCTTTTGAGATGGGATGACATTCCCTACATAGTATTGGTTATCCAATTAAGAGAAAATTTAAGAGGCAAAGTATTGTGAAAGTCGGTGCTTTCAGACAGTGGCTGTTTTCAATTTCAGAAGACGGCAAGGGTTAGCTGCTTTCTTGTCAGAGTCAAGTAAGTTCTCAGACACCAATATGACAATGTTTCTAATTGGAGTATCCTTAAAGTTGGCCATTTGCTAATTAAGGTATATCTGGCTATTAGCAAACCTGCTCCAATATTGGTCTGAAATACATTACTTCTGTTATTTCAGAGATAAGACTCCAGGAATTAAAAGTGTTTGGCTATAAAATGCATAGAATTAATCAGGGGGCAGCTAAAAACAAAGTGACAGCTTGAAAAGAGGCAGAGGATGTTATACATTTTGTACAAATACAAAAGGTCGGAAAGAAAACAAAGTAAAGGTAACAGTAAAATGCAAATAACCCCCCAAATACAAAGCCAAACAAAACCTCTGATTGAGGCTTGACAGGGTGATGGAACATGAGATGGTGGATAGACTATGGTGGTCACATTTCTTTCATTTTTATTATTTACACAATTAAGGACATATAGTCTAGCAAGAAAGTTTAAATATTTTTAAAAAGTTGAGACAAAACAGCATCTAGATTGTGTGCAATATGGTACAATACGGCCTGTTAATCTTTACCCTGCAAAAAATAAGTGAACTTGGACAAAGAACCATACAAAGAACACACAACCAGCTTTTCACTTAAGGTTTTCCCTTTCTTCCCACACAGTGAGCATACAGGGGACAGGCTGGGAGCGAGTGCTGCACTGCCTGCTCTTCTGCCATGTGCATTCTGCACCTTCCCGTCAGGCTCACTCAGACCATTTCTCCTGTTTTCTTTGACAGCATAGATACTCTGTCTGACAGCACATACTGCTGCCAGATTTAGTTGTTAAGTTGCAACTATTCACATATTCTTTCCAGATCATTAATCAGCAATATTAGTCACGCATCTAGATTTTCTCTCTGTATTTCTACAAGGTTGGCCTAGATTGTTCAAAGAGAAGGTAAACACCCTTGTGCCTTTTAACTTTCAGGTACCCGCCTTTTAAAAGCACTCATCTTTAGAGCAAGAAGAAAAAACGCGCTCTCAACACACACCTTTCATCTGACAAACATACACGTACAAAACCTGAACTCTCTCAAATCACTTTTGAAAGCAGTTTTGAAAGTTTCTGTCTAAGATCCTATTACATAAATGTCTAAGAGAAGAGGTTACATTATTCAGTGGAATATCTATTCTATCTCAGGTATGTAAACTGAACATTACAGTAATAACTATACTGGTACTGGAGGGCATACAATTTGATGCACAGAAAGGCTGTGTGCAGTGAACCTGGCTCTCAGTGGAAGCTGGAGGTAGCTGGCTTCATGAACGAAGGAGTAAAGAAAAGGCCACCATGCATCCATATGAATTTTATGTGTCCATTTCAAATGGAACCATTTGCCCATGCTCTTAATAATTTTAGATGTTCAGCTAGAGTATATTTTCAAAATGAAATGGTGTAGAACAAGTTCTGTAAAATAAAGTAACAAAATGAGGAAAACTTTCCTTCTCTTTTAAGCTTTAGAAAATATGGTAAATGTAGTTTTTATGAAGCATCCTAGTAGTCATCTGTGATTTTTTTGCTTATCAGTAATAAAATATGTTTCTAAAATATGAGAAATGGCAAAAGGGCCGGAACCTAAGCTATGTACCACAAGCCTATTATTCTGCTTATCTCTTAGTTCAAAGCACTTCAATCTTCAAAAACAGATTTATGATATAAGAAACCAGTAAAAAGTAAAGTTTCATAACATGTTTCTGAATCTGCCAAGTTCTTAAAAATAACTTACCCTACAATGTAGGAAAAAAATTAATTCTTTCTCACTCCTCTCAAATTTGGCATCTTCTGAGTAACACTCTCTTCAATATGTGATCACATTGTGAATTCTTTTTGAAGATAATAAACTATTTAATAGAATTTCTAGCTATCAAAGTGTTATTTTATTCCAGCTTTTTTAAGGCTGAGAATCATTTGATAGGGAAAAAAAACAGATTTCTGTCCCAAACACACACAGGGAATATTACGTTTAAAGAATTAAGATTTTGTTCTTTCCCCTTTGCATTCATACTAAACAACATTTACCTTTTTTAAGGGTTGCTTTTTAACCTTAAAATAGGGACTGATTCTTTCCATGATAGTAGCTACTTTTAAATTGTGTACAAACCTAGCTACACATTGCAGGCCAGCAGGAACTAATGAAAAAAACATAACTACCTTGTATTTACCTGTGTTAAAGACACCATACATAGTAAAGAATGAGAAACTACCTTGTTTTACCACAAAGTTTTGGTTTTTAAAGTCACAAGTGAGGAAATCCTCTAGTTGTGTGAAAATGTTGGTTTCATTTGTCTTCCTCTCTTTTTTGCCTTAAAAAATGAAAATTTTGCTGCAAAGTATGAAAAGCGAAAACCAAATCCTAAAATCTAAAAACTGTTTTCCTGTCTAGAGGATCTCAAAAAAACACCCAACCAGCTCCAAACCCACTAGCTGCTTATCTTACAGTAATGTGCAGAATCCCGCTGGTCTCACATGTGTCCTACTTCAGCGGGATGTGGCCAAGAGGGAGCTTTCAACTACACTTCCTGTAAGAGGAACTAAACCGATAGCGTTCAGCAGCCATAGTTAAACAAGACTGTAGTCAGAACTGCTTCTTCTAGTTATCCCCCATTTAAAAAAAAAGAAATCACGTGGCTTCTGCAATCACTGTTGTCAATATCTTTCAGGATTAAGAACATAATTGTTGTCATTTAAAGTCATTTCCCTTGGTTCTGTACTAATAGGACACAAAATGCCTGGCATTAATCAACTGAATTTTTCAGCTGTCACTACAGGTCCCTGTATGCAGTAAGAGCCATGAAAGTAAGCTCAAAAACATTACTGATAATTCCACTGCATCATTTTGTTTTAGAAAGATGCACATCAGTCCCTCAATATCAAAGAACATGCATTCTTTAAAAGGTAAATTGCTTGTCATACGTATCAGAAATGCATGTACAACACACACGTTACTCATCTGGAAACCTTAATACAGCCTAGTTATTGTGGTCACAGGTTTCAAGTATGTTCTGAACCCTCAAAGCTCCTTCTAGAGAAGAGGAGGTTGCAAACTCTTTCTACTGTGAAGTCCTTTCTTTGCTTACTTTCTGTATCTAAAGCTACACAAAATATGCTGCATGTGCTTTAAGCACTGAAGTCCTATTGAGTATATACCTCTATTTTCAGGCATAGATCTGAGTCAAAGGCCCTACTGATAAACTGATTTCCCACCAAGTACTTCAGGATCATAACTATTAACTTGGTGAATTTAGCAGAACACAGATTATTAACACAAACCAAACACAAGACAGAAATACTTGATGACCCACTGTTTCTTTGTCATTCACTTTTAAGTACCACTGCTGTTCTTAAATTTACCTTTTATAACCAGAAACTCGGAGTGAGCAGTTCAGAAGGAAGCAGAATAACGAACTAAACAAATGTTTTGCATGATTACATCAGAAATCCGCTAAATCAATCTTCCAAACTTTGTAAGTGTTCAGATATAAATATCACATTCTAACCCAGAGCTTTAAGGTAAGATTGTTCCAGTCTTACCTTTTATCCTCGCTACACCTAAAACTACACTGAAGTACTTTACCATATAGGTTTGATTAAATTACAGCTATGCGCTAAACAGTCATACTTAGTCAATGGTGACAGATTTTCCCACACCACAGATTGCACACAGAATACTAGATTTCATCACTTAATAAAACTATTAGTTAATGTCCCAGAGAGAACTTTAAGGACATCATGGGCTAATGCATAATTATGCTTTTCAGTGTCTCAACATTCTAAGCTTAACATCTGTTTCCTGTTGTTTTTTTATAAATATATATATTTTTTTTTACAGTGCTTTGCATTACTAGATATAATTACATATTTCAGTTAGAAAGAAAAATGCAATATAGAATTTTATTTCCATTTGGAAACAATAAAGGAACAACTTCTTCAAATTATATGACTGTGAAAGAAAATTTCTGTCTTTAATCATGACTGAAACAGCTGATTGCCTTTTCCCTCTACCCCCTGGAATCTAATAATACGTCTATGAACGAAGGTAAGCACTACACAAAAATGACATTTCATGTAGGAATGAAAAGGTCAAAGAGTAGCACAATTTGTTTTAAGCTGACTTTACAAAAAATAAGTCAGCTACATTTGGAATCTAACAATGTATGTGAAATATCCTTTAGGATACTGATCACATAGGAAATAATTTTTTTCCAGTTCTTAGCAGCTGGAGTACATCAGAACACAAGGCACATTGCCAGAAAGATTTTTATCTAGTCAGTGTATTTTATCCCAGCAATTACAATACACAAATTTAACCACCTAACCAGAAAAATCAATCCTTCTGTTTGTAATGACACCATGCGCAACCATAGAGAATCACAGAGACAATAAACATCAATATCTGTGCATCTTTATGTCAGTACCAGCAAGCTGTTCAGACAGTGATTCTTTCCCCTAACCTAAAGTAGGCAAAAATCCAGTATTTGAATTCTGCCTTGTGTCTGAGTCACAATGATCTGAATAACTTTCTTCCTAGCAAAAAAAGGATTTTGTCCTCTGCCAACAGTGAAGCCCAAAGAAACCCTCATCCATATGGAAACATGACAAAATGGCAATCCCTCAAAAC